CAAACAGACTCCCGTGAGTTTTGTATCATGAACCCACCCAATACAGCCCGACCACTAAATGAGGTCCCGTTTTATTTCCATTCCGTATGAAATTTGCAAACGCTGGTATGTCCGTGTCCGTTCGTTGGTCTTGATGGCGCACCCCCCCCCGCCCCCCTCCCCCGCCGCACACCCCTACATATTCATCCCGTTCGCCCGTTAATGGGTGCTGCACCCGTTACCCTGGGTCTGTATCACATATCCAATGATTGCGGCTCATTGGGCTTTGACCGCCAGCAGGGTGGGTTGTTTTGTCCACTCTATCGGGTTTTCGGGGGCTGTTTCAATGGGGTAGTCATATTGAGGGGGGGGGCGTGGGAGTGCGGTGGGGCCCCCGGCAATAGTGCGCGACACCGGGACAGATTCTGCGGCAGGATGTACTGGGGTTTGGGGCGTTCCTTTTGGGGCAAGGTGTCCCCAGGGAGGAGGGGGTAAGGGTGACTTCCCCAGCGATATTTCGGGGTCCCATTGGGGAAGTTTTGAAAGCGGGGGAAGTCACTCAGGTCAGTGTGCGTATATGAGGTACCATAATGCTGACGGACATACCGCGATGAAAATTTATATCGTGGCCATTTATGTCATTAGGTGGGTTTGGATACTTCACGTAGCCGGTCATAGGATAATTGGCCGCCAGGCTGTGGGTTGTGTCTATCAGGCACTGTGCTGGGGTGCTGAGTTACCTGACCCCATAACGCTATTCGGCTTTGCGCAAGTCTTTACAACTAATGGCTTACGGCTAGTGATACTCCTAACCTCAAGGTGATGCTAAGAAAGTTTGTACATAGGTACGGTTGGCCTTTCGTGTGAGGTATTTGCTCTTCGACTGGTACTCAGTGGCGCGTAGTTGGTGTGGAATCTCATGCGATCATGGTGCTGGGTCTTTGCGTACGTATTGGGTTGGGTCGTCGTGTGGTGGGATTCGATCCGTGGGTCGAATTTTGGGTATGATTACTTGGTACTGTTGCGGGGTTTTAAGGCCTGTTATCTATTACTGCAGAGGAATAGTCTTACTTACCCTTTGAGTTGAGTCCGTATTGACGAACTTTTCACAAGTTATTCACCCCCAAGTGAACATTCGTGCACTAGAGGGTTGGAATGATCAGATTTTCTGTAGCCTGCGGGGGGCAATTTTCTGTTCCTAACCGAGAGGAGCGTATCACGCATGCGCATAGGCGTCTTGAAGAGAAGACCCCACCATTATTCATCACGATATCCGATTAAAGGCAAGACCGTAGTATAATGTAACAAATCGAATTATGAGGAAAAAAATGGAACAGATTTAGCAGAAGGGGGCCCCTTACGAAGCAATTGAAGAAACAATCCGTGTCGTCCATACTGGAATAAGTGTAAAACTGAGGTAGGAAACTTACATGAGGAAGTGTGATGACAACCTAGGGCCGTTTGTCAAATGGTATGGCGTATATCGAAATCGAAACGATTTTCACCTTCCCGCCACACCCCCCCCCCCCCCCCCCCCCCCCCCCCCCCCCCCCCCCCCCCCCCCCCCCCCCCCCCCCCCCCCCCCCCCCCCCCCCCACCCACACCCCCCCCCCCCCCCCCCCCCCCCCCCCCCCCCCCCCCCCCCCCCCCCCCCCCCCCCCCCCCCCCCCCCCCCCCCCCCCCCCCCCCCCCCCCCCCCCCCCCCCCCCCCCCCCCCCCCCCCCCCCCCCCCCCCCCCCCCCCCCCCCCCCCCCCCCCCCCCGCCCCATTGTAGATGGTATCGGTTCTCCAACGCACGAACTAGCCCGATATTTGGCAGGTTTGTTGCAACCGCTAACAGGGAGAACAAATACGTTCGTACGGAACTCATATGAGTTCGCGCGAAAGGTAGCAGGTATTGCGATCGCGCCAGACGAAATAATGGTTAGTTTCGACGTTAGTTCCCTATTCACTAACGTGCCCATGGATGACGCATTGGGTATAGCACAGCGTTGTCTTACTGTGGACAATAGCCTGGAGCAGCGAACGAAACTCACGGTAGACCAGATAATCGATGGAATTAAAGTATGCCTTAAGATGTCATATTTCACTTTCAAGTCGAGACTGTACCCTCAGGAACAGGGACTTGCCATGGGGTCACCAATATCCCCCGTATTGGCAAAGCTGTATATGGAGGAATTTGAAAAAAGGGCGCTGACAAACACCACTAGTTCACCAAAGATTTGGTGGCGCTGCGTGGATGATAAGTTTGTGATTATAAAGCAAGATATGAAGGATGCGTTTCTAAATCATCTGAACTCCATTAATGGTAACATAAACTTTACTATGGAACTGGAATCTTGCAGTGGCACACTGCCATTCCTCGATTGTCTAGTCCACAGGAACGGTGGACGACTAAAGACGACGATATATCGCAAGCCGACGGATACGGACGGAGTGCTTCCTTACAGTTCGGGTTATCCAAAACAAGTCTATGCCGCTATCGCATCCTGTCTGTTTCACAGAGCCCAGACTCTGTGTACAGAGGTAGAGGACAAGAAGGCCGCTCGTTAGGAGACGGTGAGCAAATTAGTAGACAGTGGATATCCGAGGCGGTTAGTGAAACGCCAATTACAGAGAGCTCTAAATCCACCTCCACGACGCACAACAGAGTGGATTGGGACGGTGGGAATCCCCTATAAAAAGGGAACCTCGGAAGCAATCAGACGAGTACTAAACAGGGAGAAAATAAGAGTGGTTTTTCGAAAGGGTCAAACGCTCTATTCAGCACTTGTGCGTTTGAAGGATCCACTTCCAAGAGACAGGACAACAAATTGTGTTTATAAAATCAATTGCAAAGACCGTGAACAAGTGTATATAGGTCAAACAGCGAGAGAGCTACGCACGAGGATAGCAGAACACAAGAGGTATGTTTCGCGTCCACCGAGAAATGAGCCTGAATACAGGGCCCTAGTAAAGCATTCAGCGGTGGCCGTACATGCGCTAGAGGCAGGACACGCGATTGATTTGGACAATGTCGAGATACTTAGGAGGGGATTACCAGCAACAAACCAAAGGTTGATTGCTGAAGCGACCGATATTACTAAGACTAATAACTGTGTGAACAGAACAGATGGGGTGGAGTTATCGAACGCGTGGCGGGCTGCGTTAACCCGGTCAGTCAGAAAAGGTGTCGGCGGACGAACTCAGGTCGGAGCGTGAATCAGCTGCTGCCAGAAAGGAATGCCTCACATGTGAACGACCGATGACTTGGATCAATGAGAAACGCTCGCTGCTTGTAATTTCACTAACGTGGCCACTTGACCTACTGATCTGTAACACTATTATCCAATGGTTCATGTTTTTTTCTTGCAACCTTCCCACAAAATGTTACGCCAATTTTGTACCAATTCACCTGGCCTGAAGAAGCTCTTGTGTCAAGGGCGAAACGTTGCCACAATAAAACCCTACCAAAAACCGATCTGTATACAAAACATTCTGAAATCATGAAATCACAGTCGGTTCCAAACATATTCCAATATATTGAACCAAGAAAACAGGACAAACGGATGCACATGTATGTCAACCTGGATTTCATGGTGAGTACATTCACAACATTGCACTTCGCTTTGCTTTCACACACAGGGAACAGAGGACAGCAACACAGACCATCTCAGGGGACTTATCAAACATTGACATAGTTTAACCGTATTACACATTAGACCCATTGTCCAGTAACTAATATATTGCTACCCTAATACGCCACTTGAAAAAACATCGTCACGTGTGACATCCTGATATTCTGTGATCGCTATGCCAATCACCCGCTTGTACACATGGCCTGAGGATGCTTTCGTCACAAAATCACAAGTTGCCCTCCAAATACTCGTCAACTATTCCTTATTGTCGCCTCCGCCCACTGCGGACGAACTGGGGAGTTGACGAACGGCTCGCCTGATGCAACACATACGACCGCATATGCTGCAACATCAGGTGCATGCGGTAAAGGGACCGCTTTTTTCCTGTATCTGATGCTTAAGTAGACAACCGCTTTCGGCATTAAGCAGCGTTCTTCTACTGCAACTAAAAAAACGCATGTTGGATTGGTTCACAAAATGGAGTTTTATCTATTGTCATTGTTCGCCAACAACTATTATAACACCAGTTTGTGATGGACTCAGCTTGATCATACCATAAAAGAGTAGCTTCAGTTTGCCCAAGGAGAAGGCTAAAACACTTAATCGCGCGATCGGAACACCCGATCAACTCGGCAGAACAGTTCCTTGAGAAACTTAAAACCGCAACCATTGAACGAGACGAAATGATGGTCTCTTTCGATGTTACCGCCTTGTTCACTTCAATCGACATTGGCTTGGCGAAACAAACAATGACGCGCCTGCTAGAGGAGCACACGTCGTCTGATACAAACAGTGGACCCGAACCCAAACAGATGATGGAGTTGTTGGAATTCTGTCTAACAACACATTTCACTTTCAATGGCCAAATTTATGAACAGATAAGAGGCACACCAATGGGATCGCCGATCTCTGGTCTAATAGCCGAGGCAGTGATGCAGGCGCTGGAACAAATAGCACTTCCGATCGCGAGACCAAAACTTTGGGTACGATACGTAGACGACACCTTCGTCATCCTCAAACGTTCCAAATTGGAGGAAACACACGAACTAATCAACAGTGTGTTCGATGGCATCCAATTCACCAGGGAGGAGGAGAACAACGAACAGTTACCATTCTTAGACGTTCTCATACGACGGACTGGTGCTGAACGATTGGAAACAACAGTCTACCGAAAATCTACACATACGGACCAGATCCTCAACTACGGCAGCAATCATCCGGCAGCCCACAAACGCAGCTGCGTGCAAACCCTTTTCAAACGAGCACAAACCCACTGTAGCACACCGCAGCTGAGACGGGCAGAAGAAGATCACCTCTTCAACCTGTTCAAGCGGAACTCGTACCCAAAAGGCTTCATTCTACGCTGCCTCGCATCACAAAAGGTTACTCAACACACCTCGACAAATGTACCAGCTGAAAAGAGAACAACACTTCCCTATATCAACGGTATCTCTGAAATGGCAGCGAGGCTCTTATTGCCTTTTGGAGTCAAAGTTGCACACCAGCCAACGGAAACCATTCGCAGTAAACTCTTCAAGGTGAAGGATAAACTTAGCAAAGAAGAAGAAACTGGTGTGATTTATAAGATCTGCTGTCGGAACTGCGACAAATATTACGTGGGACAGACTGGGAGAACGCTTGGCACAAGGCTACACGAACACAGCCTAGCCATACATCGCCACGATCAGAACTCCCTGATGTCAGTGCACATGGATGCTGAGAACCATCAATTCGACATAGAGCATACCAGCATCCTCGGAAGGGCTAAAAGCCGGCAAGCACGTGAGTTCATTGAAGCCTGGCATTCAAAGCAGAACTCGATCAATAAGCACTTGGACATTGAAGTCGCTTACGAGGCACTGCGAACCAGGCCCCTGAAACCGCACTGATGATGTTGCCTAGTCAGGCAACGAAACGTCTGCACAATAATCATTCAGCTCGGAGAACCGCTCAAAATCCGCATTCACACCCCGAGCTACGCATATTCTCATTTATTTC